GACCGCAACACCTTCTGGAGAGCCCTGCGGTTGCGGGCAGTGCAGTTGCTGTACCAGGCGGTGATACAGCCCGACAGGATGCTCTCAATTGTGCATCTGTAAAAGTTTGTGAGGGTTTTAGGGGCCAAGACAAATTTCTTCAGCCTCCTGAGGTTGACGAGGCGCTGTAGCACCTTCTTCACCACACTGTCTGTGTTGGTGGACAATTTCAGGTCGTCAGTGATGTGTACACCGAGGAACTTGAAGCTTTCCACCTTCTCCAATGCGGTCCCATTGAAGTGGATAGGGGCGTGCTCCCTCTGCTGTTTCCTGAAGTACACGATCAGCTCCTTTGTTTCGTTGACGTTGAGTGAGAGGTTATTTTCTCGTCATTGTTGGTAATTATCCGTGATTACGTTTTTTATCCGTTTTTGTGAGAGATGTTTCCTGGCCAGTTTCATTTTTTTCCCGCCACTATCGTGTCGTCTGCAAACTTGATGATTGAGTTGGAGGCGTGCGTGGCCACGCAGTCATGGGTGAACAGGGAGTACAGGTGGGGGCTGAGCATGCACCCCTGTGGGGCCCCCATGTTGAGGATCAGCGAAGTGGAGGTGTTGTTTCCTACCTTCAACACCTGGGGGCGGCCCATCAGGAAGTCCAGGACACAGTTGCACAGGGCGGGGTACAGACCCAGGGCCCCGAGCTTAATGATGAGCTTGGAGGGTACAATGGTGTTGAATGCTCAGCTATAGTCAATGAACAGCATTCTTACAAAGGTATTCCTCTGGTCCAAATGGGATAGGGCGGTGTGCATTGCTATGGTGATTGCATCATCTGTGGGTCTATTGGGGTGGTAAGCAAATTGAAGTGGGTCTAGGGTGTCAGGTGAGGTAGAGGTTATATGATCCTTAACTAGCCTTTCAAAGCACTTCATGATGACAGAAGTGAGTGCTACGGGGCGATAGTCATTTAGCTCAGTTACCTTTGCTTTCATGGGTACAGGAACAATGGTGGACATCTTGAAGCAAATGGGGACAGCAGACTGGGATAGGGAGAGATTGAATATGTCAGTAAACACTCCAGCCAGCTGGTCTGCGCATGCTCTGAGGACACGGCTAGGGATGCTTCTGGGCCGGCAGCCTTGCGAGGGTTAACACGCTTAAATGTCTTACTCACGTCGGCCATGGAGAAGGAGAGCCCACAGTCCTTGGTAGCAGGCTGCGTCGGTGGCACTGGGTTAACCTCAAAGCGGGCAAAGAAGGTGTTTAGCTTGTCCGGAAGCAAGACGTTGGTGTCCGTGACGTGGCTGGTTTTCCCATTGTAGTCCGTGATTGTCTGTAGACCCTGCCACATACGTCTCGTGTCCGTGCCGTTGAATTGTGACTCCACTTTGTCTCTGTACTAACATTTTGCCTGTTTGATTGCCTTACGGAGGGAATAACTACACTGTTTTTTATTCGGGCATATACCCAGTCACCTTGCCATGGTTAAATGCGGTTGTTCGTGCTTTCAGTTTTGCACGAATGCTGCCATCTATCCTCGGTTTCTGGTTTGGGTAGGTTTTGATAGTCACAGTGTATTGAACTCAGTCACCGTATCCGTGTATTCGTCTATGTTATTCTCAGAGGCTACCCGGAACATATCCCAGTCCGCGTGATCAAAACAATCTTGAAGCATGGATTCCGATTGGTCAGACCAGCATTGAATAGACCTTAGCACAGGTACTTCCTGTTTGAGTTTCTGACTATAGGAAGGGAGGAGCAAAATGGAGTCGTGATCAGATTTGCTGAAGGGAGGGTGGGGGAGGGCCTTGTAGGCATTTCGTAAAGTTGAGTAGCAGTGGTCCAATATTTTCCCAGAGCGAGTACTACAGTCAATGTGGTGGTAGAACTTCGGTCGCGTTTTCCTCAAAATTGCTTTGTTAAAATCCCCAGCTACAATAAATGCGGCCTCAGGATATGTGGTTTCCAGTTTGCATAAAGTCCAGTGTAGTTCTTTGAGGGCTGTCATTGGGTATTGACTTGAGGGGGAATATACATGGCTGTGACTATAACTGAAGATAATTTTCTTGGGAGGTAATACGGTCGGCATTTGATTGTGAGGTATTCTAGGTCGGGTGAACAAAAGGACTTGAGTTTCTGTATGTTATCACAATCACACCATGAGTAGTTAATCATGAAACACACAACCCCACCTTTCTTCTTCCCGGAGAGTTCTTTATTCCTGTTTTCGCAATGTACTGAGAACCCAGCTGGCTGTATGGATGGGGACAGTACATCCCGAGAGAGCCATGTTTTCTGTGAAACAGAGTATGTTACAATCCCTGATGTCTCTCTGGAAGAAGATCCTCGCCCTGAGCTCGTCTACTTTATTGTCCAGAGACTGAACATTAGCTAGTAATATACTCGGAAGCGGTGGATGGTGTGCACGCCTCCTGAGTCAGACTAGAAGTCCACTCCGAATACCTCTTCTCCGCCGGCTGTGTTTTGGAGCAGCCTCTGGAATAAGTTCAATTGCCCTGGGGGATACGAACCTCCTTGCCCATCCAAATAAAATATTGAAATATTGATAATTTAGTTGACCGAGACGCTCGCCGACAGAAAGACACATCAATTTCAGTTAAAGCATCCGAGCGAGCGAAACAGCACCCCTCTGTATCAGTATGTGTAGACCATGTCATGTCATACTATTTCTGGCCAGACAGCTTCAGATACATGGGCTACATATAGAGGGGCGCTGTTTCACTCGCCCGGATGCTTTCTCCGGTGATATAGTTTCAGCAGAGAGGAAGAGGCGAAGCGACAGGGCTCACTCTCGCTTAAATCTGTCCAGTATAAACCCAATGTGTTTCTATGGGAATAATATGCAGACCTAAGCTTGTCGCCTGCATTCCCGCCTTTGGGACAAAGATCCCATTGTTCTGGCGGAGACATGAGCATCTCGTCATTATATACAGATCTCTGGTTTCAGCCTCTTGCGAATAGGAAAGGAAAGTTGGCGGGTGCACAGTGCACTGCTTGGATGCTGGATTGCCCTAAAGTAAATAGATGTTTCGTCAAAATTATATAAGTACTCCTGTCTAAATAAAATCATTCAAAATACTTAACCTGGGAGCATGACTTAGCCACAGAGGACCATTAGCTTCTTTAAACATTTTTGCTGTGAACACACAAGTGTGTTTGGGAAGCCCGAAATTTGGATAGTGCACGTGGCAATAGGTCTAGCTGATTGAGTTGAGGCTGTAAGTGAAAAGCGTCTAAAATATGTTTGAAGATAATGTGTCTTGAGTATAATAAAAAATGTTCCATCAAAAAGAAGGGAAGGAGAGTGTGGCGAAGATATGGTGCGCCTCCAGAAAGCATGCATATGTAGGAAAGTGGCCATTTGGCAATGTCTTATTTTCTGATTGTCTTAACTCACCACATACACCGCTCATTTTTTCTTCGCCTCAAACAAGTCAACAAAGTCTGTTTGTTTGTTTTTACATCCATTGCGAATGATAGTTCCTCAGTATTTGAAAAATCACTCCCTGCCTCGATAATTACCAAGCTTCGGTGTGAAAGAGCAATATATAACGATCTGATGATCCCATATATCCAGTGGAAATGTCATTAAAAAAACTGCTTTCTGTCCCGAGCTCACTGGCGAAAGAAACTTTGAGCGCATGGAATAGGCTAGTTGATATAATGTTGCAAGTTAATTAACTACAGCTTCTGGCCGGACCCTGTGATAATTTGATACAATGTTGAACTTCACTTGCAATAGCTCAGGTCAAGACAGATAGAAAGGGATGCAGATAGATGGAGAAGAGATTAATGTAATTAATGTGATTGAAAGAACCAACATTTTCATCAGGATATTTTCTACTGTTTTTATTTTGTCGGCTTTAGTCCTATATATTTTACTTAGTTGATTATGAAAAATATAGGCCTACAGCTGCATTGGCCTATAGGCTATCTCTGAGTTATATGCTCTAATTTCTTTAGCCGCCAATAGATCAGTGTATCAATGTGTCCATATGGCAGAGGCTAGTGCTCTAGCCATAGTTTAATTTTAACTTTTAGATTTTTATAATTTTACTTCAGATTTTTGTGATTAAGCATGTGACAATGATTTTGAGAAATGAAAACATTATTATTGAAATGAAACTGTTCCACGAAAATGTGCATATATAAATATTCATAACTGGCACGCAGATCCGTAGAAATGGTAGGAAAAATTGTAAGCTTCCCCAAACTTGAAACTCACGAGCTGCCTGTGGTCTTTACTATTACACCCATTTAAAAAATGCGTGCCAGCGTGTGCACACATAGGATGTCACGTGAAAAAACGGGCCCGCCTATGGAAATCAAATAAATGCCTGTCCAACTGATTCGTTCTGGCGCCGGGTCTGACAACAGCTGTTCGTCATTTTACTGTAATTCAGAAAATTCCTTAGTGGATCAGATGATGTGTGAAAATAACATGGCATAATTAAACAGCTTGACATCAAATGCACATCCAACAAGTATTATGCATACATATTGAAGAACCACGTTAATGACAGTATCGATTTAGGTTTTAAGTATCAACATAAGGTGACTCTTTCGGTTAGAAGCATTAGATTTTGCAATCGCATGATTCTTTGTGTATCCATGAAAACTGTTTTACCCCATAACATAAGGAGTCAGGAAATGTTATATAATTACACTGCATTTCTGAGACCTCTATACAAAAAACTGTCCAACAGCTAGATCCAGGATTCTTACAGGGATCAAGTTAGATGTGTAATTTAACTGATTGATGCTTAATATATGATATAACGACAATTTACACTGACATAAATGCATTGACATAAAAGTAATGTTTTATGTCACACGATTTTGGACAAATTCGTCAAGACACCAACCATGAGTTGAATATTGAATATACCTATGATCCCACCTTGAATCTTATCCAGGTTCTATTGGGACATTGTGATGCTACTCCTGATGATGTGCAACCTGGTCATCCTCCCCTGGGGCATCACCTTCTTCGAAGACCAGAAAACTTTGCCCTGGATCTCCTTCAACGTCATCTCTGACACCTGCTTCCTGGTCGACCTGGTCCTCAACTTCCGCACAGGCATCCTAGAGGGAGACGACCAGATCATCCTGGATCCCAAGGTTACATTTCACACAATTTCAAGACAGCTGGAAACAGAGGGGGATATTGACAAATGGTAGAACAGTAGGAAGGGTGGACACAGGGATTTCAAATAAAAATGTATTGGTCACATGCTGAGAATTCAACAGGTGTAGACTTTACAGTGAAATGCTTACTTACGAGCCCATTCCCAACAATGCAGAGTTAAAAAGTAAGACAAATATTTGTTAAAGAAAAAAGAAAATAGTAACACAATAAAAAACAATAAAGAGGCTATATACAAGGAGTACCAGTACCGAGTCAATGTGCAGGGGTACAAGGTAGTTGAGGTAATACAGTATGTACATGTGAGTAGGGGTAAAAGTGACTAGGCAATCAGGATATATAATAAACAGAGAAGCAGCAGCATATGTGAAGTGTGAAAGTGTGTGTGTGGCGTCAATATGCATGTGTGTGTGTGTGTGTGTGTGTGTGTGTGTGTGTGTGTGTGTGTGTGTGTGTGTGTGTGTGTGTTTGTGTGTGTGTGCGTGTGCGTGTGTGCGTGTGTGTGTGGACATGTTTAACTATAATTGTGGGGACCAGAATTCCAAACAAGAATATTAAACAAACAAAAATTTGACCAACTGGGATATTTTGTTAGTCCCCACAAGGTCAAATGCTATTTCTAGGGGGATTAGGGTTAAGGTAGAATTAGTGTTAGGGTTAGTATTGGGTTTAGGTTTTGGGTTAGGAGTTAGGGTTAGTTTTAAGGTTAGGTTTAGAGTTAGGGTTAAGGTTAGGACCGAGTTTGGGAAACCCTGGTTTAGTGAGTGTGCATAGAGCCAGTGCAAGGGAGTCAGTGCAAAACAATTAAGATAAAGAAATAAATAATGAAGGGGGTCAATGTAAATTGTCTGGGTAGCCATTTGATTAACTGTTCAGCAGTCTTAAGGCTTGGGGATAGAAGCTGTTCAGGTGCCTTTTGGTCCCAGACTTGGCGCTCCGGTACCGCTTGCTGTGCGGTAGCAGAGAGAACAGTCTATGACTCTTTGACAATTTTTAGGGCCTTCCTCTGACACCGCCTGGTATAGAGGTCCTGGATGGCAAGGAGTTCGCCCCAGTGATGTACTGGGCCGCACGCACTGCCCTCTTTAGCGCCTTGCGGTCAGATGCCGAGCAGTTGCCATACCAAGCGGTGATGCTGCCAGTCAAGATGCTCTCAATGGTGCAGCTGAACCCAAGTCTCCGGTGGGGAGTATATCTGACTGGCCGGGAGTGTTACCACTAGTGACAGGCTTTGCTGCATTAGCCTCTCAAGTCCACTGTTATTTTACTAATAATATCTATTTACACCTTGTCTAGAAATAATACATTTTTATTATTCATTCTGTAGGTAGGTGAAGCCCTTTGCACTGATGCATTTTATTGTATGAAATATGCTTAATAAATACATTTTGATTCAATGATTTGATGAAGGTCAAATCAATCAGTCAATCAATCAATCATTTAATCATAGGTGATCCGTATGCACTACCTGAAGACTTGGTTTGTGGTGGACTTCATCTCCTCCATCCCCATGGACTACATCTTCCTGATAGTGGACCTGGAGGCCCAGATGGAGGCTTCGGACGTGTTCCGCACGGCCCGCGCCCTCCGTATCGTCCGCTTCACCAAGATCCTCAGCCTGCTGCGCCTCCTGAGACTGTCCCGCTTCATCCGCTACATCCATCAGTGGGAGGAGGTGAGGGAGAGGGGGAAGGGAGGAGTTTTAGTGTGGACAATAGTGGACTGAGCATATTTGATATAGGATAAGGCTATATACTTAAACGCTGTATACTCACACACTCACATTGTAAAATCACTCAGTCAAAGATTCACTCATACTCATACTGTCTAGAAATTGATCCAATAGCCATACCTCTCTATCGGCATGGAATACAGTGAGCTCCAAAAGTATTGGGACAGTGACACATTTGTGTTCATTACGCCCTGTACTCCAGTACCTGGATTTGAAATGATTTAACTTAAGGGTATTTTCATCCATTTCGGGTGAACCTTTTGGAAATTACAGCACTTTTTGTACATAGTCCCCACATTTTAGGGGAGAAAAAGTATTGCATAAAATACACACAAAAAATGTCATTGTCCCAACACTTTTGGAGCTCACTGTATACCATATAATTATTATTGTGTCCCAAATGGCACCATATTCCCTTTAAAATGCACTACTTTTGACCAGAGCCCTATGGGACCTGGTCAAAAGTATCACACTGTAAAGGGAATAGGGTGCCATTTAGGACACAGCCATTGTAAGTCCTTGCCAGTGTTGACATTCCTCTCTATAACTCTCCCTCTCAGATCTTCCACATGACCTATGACCTGGCCAGTGCTGTTGTGCGTATAGTGAACCTGATTGGTATGATGCTACTGCTGTGCCACTGGGACGGCTGCATGCAGTTCATGGTGCCCATGCTGCAGGACTTCCCACCAGAGTGCTGGGTCACCAAGAACAACATGGTGGTGAGTGAGGACTGGAAGGTGGCAGTGCCCACGTGGGTTATAACAATAAATAATCATAATACATTTTATTTTAACACCCAAAGTTACTTTACATAGTCAGCAAGATAATCAGCAAGATAAGAAAGCAATCAAAATATCCTGCTCATCGAATACATTCCTATTCAATATGACACCCCTTTGCTACCTCAGTCTTACCTCCTCACCCGTTGTTTCTCTCTTTCACAGAATTCCACATGGCATATACAGTACTCATATGCCCTGTTCATGGCGATGAGTCACATGCTATGTATAGGATATGGTGCCCAGGCTCCCGAGGGCATGACGGACGTATGGCTGACCATCATGAGTATGATCGTGGGCGCCACCTGCTATGCCATGTTTCTGGGCCATGCCGCCAACCTGGTTCAGTCCATAGACGCCTCCCGACGACAGTATCAGGATAAGGTACCCAGCTCTTTGTCTCACATGAGCAAAGAGTACTTTTACAAATAGATGAGAAACATATACTCTAGAACATTGTTGTGCTTTGTTCAACACAGTACAGTACCACATAAATCTAAGTTTTACATCAAATATGTACAGTCTGCTGCCCTCTTAGCCAGGTCTCCCTTGTAAAAGAGGTCTTCTGACCTCAACGGGACTTACTGGATAAGGTTAAAACAAATAAAACAGATCCACTCACAATGTTCTCTGTCTGGAACCCATGTTTTCAGTATAAGCAGGTGGAGCAGTACATGTCGTTCCATAAGCTGCCGGCGGACGTGAGGCAGAGGATCCATGAGTACTATGAGATTCGCTTCCAGGGCAAGATGTTTGACGAAGACAGTATTCTGGGAGAACTCAGCGACCCGCTCAAGGAGGTCTCTTCCATTACACCTCAATCTCTTCTCTGTGTCTCTCTCTCTCTCTCTCTTTCTCTCTCTCTCTGTCTATACCCTTACATACTTGCAATCTCTCCTTTCAAAACAGTTGGAGCAAACATAGAAAGACAAAAGAAAACTATTTATATTTGCCCAAGATGTGGTCTATCTCTATTTCACTGTCACATACTCTCTACATACTCCTGTACTGTACTCCTACAGTACTCCTGTAATGATTCCTCTCTTCTCTTCTCCATTAGGAAATTGTGAGCTTCAACTGCCGCGGGTTGGTAGCCAACATGCCGCTGTTTGCCAATACAGACCCTCATTTTGTAACAGTGATTCTGACCAAGCTGCGCTTTGAGGTCTTTCAACCTAATGATTTCATCATACGGGAGGGCACACTGGGGCGGAAGATGTACTTTGTCCAACACGGCTGCGTCACCGTGCTCCCCCGCGGAAAAAAGGAGATACAGCTTAGCGATGGAGCCTACTTTGGGGGTGAGCTGTTTGCGAGAGTGGTTGGAAAGTGTTCTCCACCAATGTTTTACACCCTCTTTTCTCATTCACCCCTTTGATTTACTCTTCTCTGAACTCTCTCCCTTTGTCCTAAACTCTTCCCTTTCTCTTTCTGATCTTTTTGATCTTCCTCTATATCGCTACTCCTCTTCCCTTCTCTTTACTCAATTCTGTTTAATACCGTAGCACCCCAACACTGCGAAACAATCAATGTAACTGTTTAATACAGACAACTTTGTTGGGAAATATTATTCACCTTAAACATTACATGTATGTTGAGTACATGGGATAAACTGGGTCAAATCTCCTCTCCTCCCTTAGAGATCTGCCTGCTGACCCGTGGACGTCGGACGGCGAGCGTGAGGGCTGATACGTACTGCCGCCTCTACTCCCTGAGCGTGGACAGCTTCAACGAGGTCCTGGAGGAGCACCCGCTGATGAGGAGGGCCTTTGAGAGCGTGGCTGTGGACCGCCTGGACCGGGTACAGGGGCGAGAACCCCTCATGACTGACTGACACTTATGGGAACATAGAGGAGAGCACAGTGTAAACCTCTGTGACAAGATGGACGGCATTCAACTGATAAAGATCAGACAGTCAATGGACAATGGACATGTTGCGGTTGTTTTTAATTTGGAAACCTACTTATAGAAAGTTCTACTTCAAATATGTTTATGAAGAAGCATATTACAATGTAAACAAGTGAACAAACATATCAATGAGCTTCCCTTTTTAACAGATAAGATAACAGTAATATAAACCAAAACAAAATGGACACATCAAAACCAACAGGAATTTTTTTTTTAAATAAAAATAAATAGTACCCCCCCCTCCACTCTTCACACCCGGTCCTCCACATACTGTGCATATGGAAAGTATTCAGACCCCTTGACTTTTTCCACATTTTGAGTAAATTGTTTTTTTCCCTCATCAATCTACACACAATACCCTAAGCAAAAACTGTTTTTGTGAAATGTTTGCAAATGTATTAAAAATTAAAAATTGAAATATCACATTTACCTAAGTATTCAGACCCTTTACTCAGTACTTTGTTGAAGCACCTTTGGCAGTGATTACAGCCTCAAGTCTTCTTGGGTATGACGCTACAAACTTGGCACACCTGTATTTGTGGAATTTCTACCATTCTTCTCTGCAGATCCTCTCAAGCTCTGTCAGGTTGGACGGGGAGCGTCGCTGCACAGCTATTTTCAGGTCTCTCAAGATATGTTAGATCGGGTTCAAGTACAGGCTCTGGCTGGGCAACTCAAGGACATTCAGAGACTTGTCCCAAAGCCACTCATGTGTTGTCTTGGCTGTGTTCTTAGGGTCGTTGCGGAAGGTGAAGCTTTGCCCCAGTCTGAGGTCCTGAGCGCTCTGGAGCAGGTTTTCATCAAGGATCTCTCTGTACTTTGCTCCGTTCATCTTTCCCTTGATTCTTACTAGTCGCTCAGTCCATTCCGCTGAAAAACATTCCCACAGCATGATACTGCCACCACCGTGCTTCACCGTAGGGATGGTGCCAGTTTTCCTCCAGATGTGACGCTTGGCATTCAGGCCAAAGAGTTCAATATTGGTTTCATCAGACCAGATAATATTTTTTCTCATGGTCCGAGAGTCCTTTAGGTGCCTTTTGGCAAACTCCAAGCGGGCTGTCATGTGCCTTTTACTGAGGAGTGGCTTCCGTCTCCACTCTACCATAAAGGCCTGATTGGTGGAGTGCTGCAGAGATGGTTGTCCTTCTGGAAGATTCTACCATCTCCACAGAGGAACTCTGGAGCTCTGTCAGAGTGACCATCGGGTTCTTGGTCACCTCCCTGATCAAGGCCCTTCTCCCCCGATTGCTCAGTTTGGCCGGGAGGCCAGCTCTAGGAAGAGTCTTGGTGGTTCCAAACTTCTTTCAATTAAGAATGATGAAGGCCACTGTGTTCTTGGGGACCTTCAATGCTGCAGACATTTTTCTGTACCTTTCCCCAGATCTGTGCCTCGACACAATCCTGTCTCGGTGGACTCCAATCAAGTTGTAGAAACATCTCAAGGATGATCAATGGAAACAGGATGCACCTGAGCTCAATTTGAGTCTCATAGCATAGGTTCTGAATACTTATGTAAATAAGGTATTTCTGTTTTTTATTTTAAATACATTTGCAAACATTTATTAAAACCTGTTTTCACTTTGTCATTGTAGGGTGTGTAGATTGGTGTGTAGATTTTTTTACTTTTTTTATCCATTTCAGAATAAGGCTGTAACGTAACAAAATGTGGAAAAAGGGTCTGAATACTTTCCGAATGCACTATGTACTGATACAGTGCCTTCAGAAAGAATGCATACACCTTCACTTATTCCACATTTTGTTGTTACAACCTGAATTCAAAATGGATTAAATCATTTTTTTCTCATCCATTTACACACAATACCCCATAATGAAGAAGTGAAAACAGGTTTTTAGAAATGTTTGCAAAAGTATTTAAAATAAAAAACAGAAATACCTTATTTACATAAGTATTCACACCCCTGAGTCAATACATGTTAGAATAATATTTGGCAGCGATTACAGCTGTGAGTCTTTCTGGGTAAGTCTCTAAGAGCTTTCCACACATGGATTGTACAATATTTGCACATTATTATTTTTTAAATTCTTCAAGCTCTGTCAAGTTGGTTGTTGCTAGACAGCCATTTTCAAGTCTTGCCATAGATTTTCAAGCCAATTTAAATTTAAACTGTAACTAGGCCACTCAAGAACATTCAATGTCGTCTTGGTAAGCAATTCCAGTGTATATTTGGCCTTGTGTTTTAGGTAATTGTCCTGTTGAAAGACTGAACCAGGTTTTCCTCTAGGATTTTGCCTGTGCTTAGCATACCCATAACATGATTCAGCCACCACCATGCTTGAAAATATGAAGAGTGATACTCAGTGATGTGTTGTGTTAGATTTGCCCCAAACATAACGCTTTGTATTCAGGACATAAAGTTAATTTCTTTGCCACATTTTTTGCAGTTTTACTTTATTGCCTTATTGCAAACATGATCCATGTTTTGGAATATTTGTATTCTATACAGGCTTCTTTCTTTTCACTCTGTCATTTAGCTTAGTATTGTGGAGTAACTACAATGTTGTTGATCCATCCTCAGTTTTCTCCTATCATAGCCATTCAACTCTGTAACTGTTTTAAAGTCACCATTGGCCTCATGGTGAAATCCCTGAGCGGTTTCCTTCCTCTCCAGCAACTGAGTTAGGAAGGACGCCTGTATCTTTGTTAAACACTATTATTGCACAGAGGTCATGCAACGTATGTGACTTGATAAGCAAAGTGTTAGTCCTGAACTTATTTAGGCTTGCCATAACAAAGGGGTTGAATACTTATTGACTCAAAACATTTCAGCTTTTTGGGAAAGAAAATCAAAAAACATAATTCCACTTTGACATTATGGGGTCAGTGACACAAAATCGCAATTGAACCATTTAAAATTCAGACTGTAACACAACAAAATGTGGAAAAAGTCAAGGGGTGTGAATACTTTCTGAAGGCACATGTGATGTTACCTCATCTCACGATGCCAGAGCTATTTTGCATTGGCTTCACTGGCTAGTAGTTTTCTGCATTAGGTTAGTGAGGACATTCACGATAATGCTGTTTAATATTCTACCTTTCGTAAACCCTTAAATTATGCTTTACCAATACTTAACAAAAATAAAAATGCAACATGTAAAGTGTTTCATGAACTGAAATAAATGATCCGAGAAATTGTCCGTATGCATAAAAAGCTTATTTCTCTCAAATGTTGTGCACAAATTTGTTTACATCCCTGTTAGTGAGCATTTCTCCTTTGCTAAAATAATACATCCACCTGACAGGTGTGGCATATCAAGAAGCTGATTCAACAGCATGATCATTACACAGGTGCACCTTGTGCTTGGGACAATAATAGGCCACTCTAAAATGTGCAGTTTTATCACACAACACAATGCCACAGATGTCTCAAGTTTTGAGGGAGTGTGCAATTGGCATGGTGACTGCAGGAATGTACACCACTGTGTCGCAGCCTGCCGCGACCGGGAGACCCATGAGGCGACGCACAATTGGCACAGATTCGTCCGGAGAGGGTTTGGCCAGCCGGAATGTCCCCAATTGCGCCCTAGCGACTCCTGTGGCGGGCCGGGCGCATGCTCGCTGACACGGTCGCCAAGTTGTATGGTGTTTCCTCTGACACATTGGTGCGGCTGGCTTCCGGGTTAAGCGAGCAGTGTGTCAAGAAGCAGTGCGGCTTGGCAGGGTCATGTTTCGGAGGACGCATGGTTCTCGACCTTCGCCTCTCCCGAGTCCGAACGGGAGTTGCAGCGATGGGACAAGACTGTAACTACCAATTGGATATCATGAAATTAGGGAGAAAAAGGGGTAAAAAGTAAAATCAATAATAAAAACAAAACAAAATATGGAATGTCCATCAGAGCTATTGCCATAGTTAATGTTCATTTCTCTACCATAAGCCGCCTCCAACGTCGTTTTAGAGAATTTGGCATTACGTCCAACCGGCCTCACAACCGCAGAACATGTGTATGGCATCATGTGGGCGAGTAGTTTTCTGATGTCAATGTTGTGAGTGCCCCATGGTGGCGGTGGGGTTATGGTACTGTATGTGCAGGCATAAGCTACGGACAACGAACACAACTGCATTTTATCGATGGCAATTTGAATGCACAAAAATACCATGACAAAATCCTGAGGCCCATTGTGAGGCCCATTTTTTGTAAGGTATCTGTGACCAACAGATGCTTATCTGTATTCCCAGTCATGTGAAATCCATAGATTAGGGCCTAATGAATTTATTTCAATTCACTGATTTCCTCATATGAACTGTAACTCAGTAAAATCTTGGAAATTGTTGCATGTTGCATTTACACTACCGGTCAAAAGTTTTAGAACACCTACTCATTCAAGGGTTTGTCTTTATTTTAACTATTTACTACATTGTAGAATAATCAAAACTATGAAATAACACATATGGAATCATATAGTAACCAAAAAAGTGTCAAACAAATCAAAATATATTTTATATTTGAGATTCTTCAAATAGCCACCCTTTACCTTGATGACAGTTTTGCACACTCTTGGCATTCTCTCAACCAGCTTCACCTGGAATGCTTTTCCAACTGTCTTGAAGGAGTTCCCACATATGCTGAGCACTTGTTGGCTGCTTTTCCTTCACTCTGCGGTCCGACTCATCCCAAACCATCTCAATTGGGTTGAGGTCAGGGGATTGTGGAGGCCAGGTCATCTGATGCAGCACTCCATCACTCTCATTCTTCGTAAAATTGCCACACCTGGAGGAGTGTTGGGTCATTGTCCTGTTGAAAAACAAATGATAGTCCCACTAAGCCCAAACCAGACGGGATGGCGTATCGCTGCAGAATGCTGTGGTAGCCATGCTGGTTAAGTGTGCCTTGAATTCTAAATAAATCACAGACAGTGTAACCAGCAAAGCACCCCCACACCATAACACCTCCTCCTCCATG